ATTTTTGTGACGAAAGACATTTTGAATCTTCATAGTGTCCACTGTTTATATCTAAATTAAGAAAACGTTACATTTTTATTGAATTCCTCTTTCTCAGTACAAAAGTTTTACAACAATCTTTTTATTCAATATTAAAATGATCGATTTTTAAGGTGTTAACATGTCCAAATTTTCAAGAGTTTAGATTTTTATATATGTCGAAGGTTGCACTGAATTTGAATCTATATTAAATAATGCCACAAAGAAAATAAGGATATGAACAGAAACAAATAAAAAAACAATAATTTAAAGTATAACTTGCTTTAAATTATTGTGATTTTTTAATAACTCCTTAGACATTATAGTCATTCATATTTGCAGTTCTTTTTTAAATTGTACAATTGACAGTGTCATATTTATAGTCTTATTTACATTCTGTTGTATAGACAAAAAACACAAGATTACATGTTTTTAAGGACTAGGTTCGAACAGTCATCTTAATTTATGTTTCATACACACGAAAGTCCATGAAAATATTTTGGTTCCCATTTTTGTATTGATATCTGAATATAATTAGAAAAAATAACCTAAATGTTTATTTCCTGGAAGGACGACTCCGATAGGATACCGAAATCTCAAAAAATTAATTAATACAGTATATTAGTTTTTCTTTTATGACTTCAAACTTTAATTTGAACTACTAAACGATGCGCGAACGAAATATTTTAAGCCTACTTGAATATTTTTGAAAAGTAATTTACTCCCGTTGTTTCAAAATGCATTTTCTTTTATCTTAATGTGAATTATTTTTTATATAAATCTTTTAAATATAAGTAAATTAAGTAACCGAAAATAAGTATATAATAAAAAAATGTGTGGTGTGTGTTACAGAAAGACGAGTGGGATGGCCAAAGGCGGTCGAGGGCTCGATTCTTAGTAACAAGTTTATTTAATATTGAATCCTCTAGATCAGTGGTCTCCAAAGTGGGGTACGCAGTGATGCTCGGGGGTACGTCAAGTTTCCTTCAAAATACTGTGTGTCCTGTCCGCGGTCGGTTTGATCTTCCAGAAGAAGTAGGCTCACGATCATTGCGATCATACATGGAAAAAATTCATATTGAGGGTAACGGGAAATTTAGCAAGAATTATGTATTTATAGTGGAAATTTAGCAAATTTTATTATATTATAGGGGTATAACTTATAATTAGTTTTGTCTTAGGGGTACGCGATCAAGAAAGTTTGGAGATCACTGCTCTATATCAGTGATGGACAAAGTTTTCTGGGTGCAAGCCGCGAATGAACGTAGGCTTTCGACGGGCTGCATGCACTTTTTCTTATGCAAGCTTTTTTTTTTTTTTATTACCCATTCTCCCTGTGGGAAAAGAATTTTTGAATCAAAATGTCGTTATCATAAAAAGTATCGTGATAAGTCGCTTCAATTTTCTATTTATTTTTGTAAAATACTAATTTTGCATCTCGTTGATTCTTACGCCATATTTAAAATGCTTTTTTGTAGTTTTAAAAAGATGTTTGGTAACAAAACTCATATCATTTTTTTAATATAAAATTAGCGGTTTAAATGCCTGCACCACGCTCTCATGAATTCTTTAAAAGTTTTTGAGGAGGAAGCGATTGCTTGTTCGGCCTTAAAAATTCACATGAAGATTACACTTTTTGTTTTCAAAACGACCCCCCCCAAAAAAATGCGTTAATTTCGAACGTTAGAAAAACAACCGCATCATTTTCTTCGTATGAAAAGATGATACCGCGTCACGCGAACAATAAGCCGAAATAGAAGAAAGTTGCGTGGCCAACACGTCATTTTTTAGTCAACGAATAACAGTTATTAAAGTTGATAAATAATAATAATAACTGGAATTAATAACGAGGTGTACACAGTCACCATTTAGGATACAACAAAAATGTGTCATCGAACAAACTACGATTACCTCCCGTCTCGTCCCAGTTAAAATAGGGTGTGTTGGCACTATTTCTTTAATAATAATTTTTTATTGTAAATTCAATCTTGCGGGTTTTGATAGATATGATGGATGACGAAATTTTACGTCAAGATGGCGTGAAAGACTCGTTTAATTACACGTTTTTCGGTCTTAAAGGCGGAATGGTGAGTTTTTTATTTCACGTTTATAACGTATTCGGTCAGGGTAGTGTGTTAGTGAAAGACTGAAACAGCACGGATTTCACGTATATCACAGAAATTCCTGTGGCTACCACTACCGAAAAATTGAACCCAAATCCTTAAGAACGGCAAGGAGAAGAATCGATTCTTATCCAGCGAAAATCTAGTCTTAAAAGGCAATAGGAAACAATATGAATTATATAAAACACTTGCAAAGATTGAAATACATAAGGTAAACATCAAGCCTTTCTGAACCGGGCCAAGAAGAATAATCGAACTATTGTTTTCCGTAAATGGCCGCTTCTCGAATCTTGTTACGCTATCGTATTTGTTTTTGCCTTTATTTTTAGTAAAATAAAGATTAAAGATCTAATAAAATTATAAAATTTATGATAGCGATAAAAACTTTGCAAATTATTTTTGTGACGAAAGACATTTTGAATCTTCATAGTGTCCACTGTTTATATCTAAATTAAGAAAACGTTACATTTTTATTGAATTCCTCTTTCTCGTGAAATGAATTTCACTTTTTCAATATAATAAGGCACGGGGCCCGATATATCCAGTTCGATCCATTCGTGAAAAATTCCAACCTGTTTCTCCCAGAGAAAAAGGCAGGTATTTTAACAATTCGGGCATCCGGCCGTCAGGAAGATAATGGGAAGAAATGGAGTTTTTGGTTCTCTGTCATATCGTGGGTTCGGCAGGCACCACAGAGACCGGAGTCGGGAACGAGGTCCAAAGTATCCGGAATGTTCTGCCCAAGGAAAATTTTTAGGTTTGCTCGTCCAGATTCGATCTTGGAGCCCCAGAACGGTAGGTTGACGCCTTAAGGCTTGTTCGTGCTATAAGTACGTTGCCACACCAACGAGTATTTTCGGCCAGCAAATTTGTGCGCCGGAAAGTATTGCCACAAAATCTATTTTTGCCGTGCTGAAGAGTATCGTAATCAGCAACCAATAGAATAACAATGTTCGGAGAACGGAAACATCCAACGAGACGCGCATACTGCAAATAGACAATTAATCTCGCAACAAATCGGAAACTTCGTTGTAGAGAAAAGACTGTTAAAGAAAATGAAAGCCTCTATAATCGAAAACTAAAGAAACATTGCGATAAAACAGTAAGCAAACAATGTTTCAGAAAATACTGTATAACCAAACAAATGAAAACCGTTGGTATTAATACTTTTAATAGAATTTTTCATTTTTTTTCGTATTTCCTTATTTAAGTTGCCCGACAGTTTATTAGACTATTGTAAGCAGCTAAATATTTCACTGTCCAAGAACTTGCTNTCGGGTATGGTCGGTTGTCCGCCGTAACTACGAGATCGTGGTAACCCCTGTTGGATACTTTGGTTCTTCTGTACACAGTTATTCGGGCTAGAATCTAGCGGAAGGGTACCATCGCTCGGCGTACTCGAAGTGGTATCGCTATGTTCTGCTCTGCAACTGGTATGGCGCGATCTAGCACCGTTTGCGTTCGGATGTCTGTACGCCTCGGATGAAGTAGGTGGTAATAATTCGCTTCCACCACGTGACGAGGGCGGCGTGGGTGGTGGGGTGCCGTTGGTCGAAGCGTCACGAGTCAGATCTGGCATGGAAAAGTGGGCACCGGACATTCGATGTTGGAGTTTCTGTTGACGATGTTGTATCTCTTGCACAACTTCCACGAATACTTGAGAATTGGCAATCAGAGTATCTAGAGTTAGATCAGAAAATGCGATTGGATCACGACTACGTCCAGACATCAAGACGGTCGTTTCTCCTGCTGTAGAATCGCGCGATCTATCCGATATACAGTCGGGATGAGGGAGAGAAGGAGTAGTTCTGTGACTCGATAGGGGACTCGGCGTTTCTGTCGTCTGAATGGCCGAATTTTGTTTACACGCATTCTTCTGTTCTCCTGAAAAGATTTAATATCCAATTTAACTCGTGTATTTACAAATTCTAAAATCACAAAAACACTCTTCATTTGTGTTATATCCATTTAATTCAAAAATAATTTTAAAAATTAATTTTTTTTGTAAAAATATTGTTAAAATAATTTTAACGATTTAATTAGAAAAAGAAAAATTTTAATTTAAAATCTGCAAAACGGGAAAAGGAAACATTTTCTACCACTAGATGGCCGTACCTTTACTACACTGTAGAGAACAATAGATGAGACCTCGTCGAGGCAGGAAGGGACATCCTAATAGAGACACGTGACACGAATGACATCGAAAACAGGATTCGGTCGCGTGCCAGTGTTGTCCTTCGTGGGTCATCTGTCCCTGATCGACACCGATCGGTTCTCCGCACGTGTCACAATATTCGGCGAACATGGCATCGAAGCAATGCAGACAGTAGGGACGACCTTCTTTCATAATGTATCTCTGTCCCCCTAACTGTCGATCGCACTCGAAACAACAGAAGTGCTTCATGTGCCACGCTCTTCCTTCCGCTTCGGTGCATTCGTCGGCAAAAATGATCTGCAACAAAAAGTCCGATTAAGAATGTGAACACATATGCAATATTCCGCCAAAATTTTAATAAATACCTCGTCGCACGCTGCACATCTGGGTTTTAGACTTTCGGCGTGGTGTCGGCCGCAATACAATTTTCCATTTTTGTAGAAATATATGAGATCGACGAGTAACTCTCCACACACGCAACAAACGAAGCATGCCGGGTGCCAAAAAGTATTCGGTCCCGATCTAGAGGCGAACACTCCAATGTCACCGGGTGCGCAACTCTCCCTACACTGAAACAATAACCAAGTTAGTGTTATTTGTAGCATCGGAATCTCCTATCGAATTATACAAGAGGGGAGTCACCGATCACCGACAACGAGTACCCTCCAACCACTCCAACGGATAACGGCTCTGTTGTCGACGTTAAAGGATGGTGGGGTCAACAGTACCCTAATGGCACTAAACATTGATTGTCTCTTGGGGTCATTGGAACTATATAAAATATTTAAAATTTTACACCTCGTAAGAAATTCATAAGAAACTATGTCATTTAATAAATTAGTTTCAATTGAAAAACTATGGATGCATAGAGTAATGGACATTTCTTTTTTGAAATTCATTGGTAACAATAAATTTTGCAGCAAACTTCCTGCTGAATTTCATCAAAATTCCAAGGAATTTTGACTAAAATAGGAACAAATATTTATTTTTCATTTTGTATAAGATCAATATAAAGATTTCTTTCTGTGCATACCGTTTCAAAAAATTATATTTGTATATAGGCCTATACTGCTCTTTCTTACAAACCATTTAAGCTCATGTTTTTGATTGATGGAATCAAAAATTCTAACAAAAATTAAAGACTTTGATTGATGACGATGATGACGATGACGATGGGAAGACGTTATCTGAAATAATAAAATGATTGGCAATCGATTCGATGACTTTTTTGCAAGATTTTGTTTTATATTGCATAGTTTAAGAGATGATGCAATTTTTGTTGTGGTGTTTCTTGCGATGTCTTCCTGTTCCCAAACATGCTGGCATCGTTCGGGTTCTCTGTTTCGCTACTGCTAGAGCGTCGTTGCTGACATATGATATTCTCACCCCTCCGTAAGCTCTTCGTGGTGGAAGCTGGTAAGGATAATCGTCTGAACTTGAGCTAGAACACGTGCTACATCGATCTTCATCAACTAGTCTACTTCCTTGATTCTTCAAGAACTTATCTACAACGGCATTTTCTAGTGCCGAGTCTCTTTCCGATGTTATCTCGTTTTCGGGTATGGTCGGTTGTCCGCCGTAACTACGAGATCGTGGTAACCCCTGTTGGATACTTTGGTTCTTCTGTACACAGTTATTCGGGCTAGAATCTAGCGGAAGGGTACCATCGCTCGGCGTACTCGAAGTGGTATCGCTATGTTCTGCTCTGCAACTGGTATGGCGCGATCTAGCACCGTTTGCGTTCGGATGTCTGTACGCCTCGGATGAAGTAGGTGGTAATAATTCGCTTCCACCACGTGACGAGGGCGGCGTGGGTGGTGGGGTGCCGTTGGTCGAAGCGTCACGAGTCAGATCTGGCATGGAAAAGTGGGCACCGGACATTCGATGTTGGAGTTTCTGTTGACGATGTTGTATCTCTTGCACAACTTCCACGAATACTTGAGAATTGGCAATCAGAGTATCTAGAGTTAGATCAGAAAATGCGATTGGATCACGACTACGTCCAGACATCAAGACGGTCGTTTCTCCTGCTGTAGAATCGCGCGATCTATCCGATATACAGTCGGGATGAGGGAGAGAAGGAGTAGTTCTGTGACTCGATAGGGGACTCGGCGTTTCTGTCGTCTGAATGGCCGAATTTTGTTTACACGCATTCTTCTGTTCTCCTGAAAAGATTTAATATCCAATTTAACTCGTGTATTTACAAATTCTAAAATCACAAAAACACTCTTCATTTGTGTTATATCCATTTAATTCAAAAATAATTTTAAAAATTAATTTTTTTTGTAAAAATATTGTTAAAATAATTTTAACGATTTAATTAGAAAAAGAAAAATTTTAATTTAAAATCTGCAAAACGGGAAAAGGAAACATTTTCTACCACTAGATGGCCGTACCTTTACTACACTGTAGAGAACAATAGATGAGACCTCGTCGAGGCAGGAAGGGACATCCTAATAGAGACACGTGACACGAATGACATCGAAAACAGGATTCGGTCGCGTGCCAGTGTTGTCCTTCGTGGGTCATCTGTCCCTGATCGACACCGATCGGTTCTCCGCACGTGTCACAATATTCGGCGAACATGGCATCGAAGCAATGCAGACAGTAGGGACGACCTTCTTTCATAATGTATCTCTGTCCCCCTAACTGTCGATCGCACTCGAAACAACAGAAGTGCTTCATGTGCCACGCTCTTCCTTCCGCTTCGGTGCATTCGTCGGCAAAAATGATCTGCAACAAAAAGTCCGATTAAGAATGTGAACACATATGCAATATTCCGCCAAAATTTTAATAAATACCTCGTCGCACGCTGCACATCTGGGTTTTAGACTTTCGGCGTGGTGTCGGCCGCAATACAATTTTCCATTTTTGTAGAAATATATGAGATCGACGAGTAACTCTCCACACACGCAACAAACGAAGCATGCCGG